CACCAGTCATTGAAGTCACAGCACCAGAAGCATCAATCAACACACATGAGTAATCACCATACGTGGGTAGGACATGGGCAAGAAACTATAGCAGTCCAGGCCTCGGGGGAAGTCAAGGGTACAACCCCAAAATTGAGGGATCGAAGATTTATGAGGATGCCGCACTCAGCGGTTGGGTCACGGTGGCAGGTACGTCTGTCAAGCAAGGTCGCCGCGCGGGGTGCAGGCGGAGCGAACAAAACACGCCACGGGAGGGCGTCTGACGACGACGGGGCGAAACCAGAGCATCTTCAGCTGCAGCCTCCCCTCTTTTCTTTTTTCTTCCGTTCGCGCTCCCGTGTTTGTGTTTGCTGTTGGTGTTGTTAGTTTGTCTCTTGCTGTTGGTGTTGTTGTTGCTGGTGGTAGTGTTGTTGTTGGTGCTGATGGTTTTGTTATTTCTGTGTTTGTTGTTGGTGTTGTTGTTGGTGTTGTTGTTGCTGGTGTTTCTGTTGTGTTGCTGTTGTTGGTGCTGTTGTATAGGTGTTGGTGGTGGTTGTGGTGTTGTTGCTGTTGTGGTTGTTGTTGTTGGTGTTGTTGATGAAGTTGTTGTTGCTGTTGTTGTTGGTGGTGGTTTTGATATTGCTGTTGCTGATGGTGTTGTTGTTGGTGTTGTTGTTGCTGTGTTAACCCTGTCTCTCTCTCTCTCTCTCTTTCTCTCTCTTTCTCTCTCTCTCTCTCTCTTTTCTTTGTCGTCCCCTCCCTTGCCCCCTCCCCCACATCCCATCCCCCATTTGCTCCGCTCCTGTCGCCTCCCCCTCGCCTCCATACCCCCATCCCTTCGCCTCTCCAATTGCACATTCTAAATCGTACTCTTCTCTTTCCCCTGACTCTTTCTGGAAGATGGTCGGCTCCCTCCGCGTACGGTCTTTCCCACAGGATTTTAATGTTCGATTAGTCGCAAGGTGTTCGCAATCCGATTTCTCCAGGTGTCTCAAAATGGGGCTCCCGCTGCAGCGAAGACCTCATGTTCGGATCGGCGCTTTTCTCGATTCGAGCCCTTCATCGTTAGCGGCCCCTCATTCCCCCTGGTCCTCCTGCTCCTCCCGGTCCTTTCACTCCAGCTCCTTCTCCTGCTATTCGTCCTCGTCCCCCTTCGTCTGCATCCTCCTCTTCCTCCTACTCATCCTCCACCTCCAGCGTCTGCAGATCCATGTTGCTCCGCCTGCGCAGGACGCGATGGGGTCCTCTTTGTAGTCCCAGGTCCGCTGTGACACGCGTCTGGGGATAGGCAGCACAGCACCGTGGGAAGCAACGGGTGGGAGGGGCAGGACGCCAGACGTGGCGCGAGCGCTCCTGGCTTGCCTCCCCTCCCCTCCCCTCCCCCTCCTCCTCCCCCCCCCTCCTCCCTCTCCCCTCCCCTCCTCTCTCCCCTCCCCTCCCTCTCCCCTCCCCTCCCCCTCCCCCCCCCCCTCTTTATCCCTCTCCCCTCCTGCGGCCGAGACGCTCCGCACACGGGCCGCCCTCGGCTCCGGAGGGGGCCCGTCGCTTCCGGGCCGTGCCTCGGGCCTGCGTCGGGGGGAGGAGGAGGAGGAGGAGGAGGAGGAGGAGGAGGAGGAGGAGGAGGAGGAGGAGAAGCTCGCTCGTGACCGAGGCTCGCCACGGTGGCCGGAGGCGCCCCTCGCCGCTCCCTCCCCGCGGCGCTCCCTGCCTCGGGCATGCGGGGCGGACCGCGTGCCCCTCGCCGAGAGGCCCTCGCCGAGAGGCCCCCGCGTGCTCCTCCTCCTCCTCCTCCTCCTCCTCCTTCTTCTCCTCCTCCTCCTCCCTCCTCCTCCTCCTCCACCTCCTCCTCCTCCTCCTCCTCCTCCTCCTCCACCTCCTCCTCCTCCCCCTCCCAGATCTCCTCCTGCCTCCTCTCTAATTGCCGCTCCTCTCCCCCCCCCCCCCGCCACCCCGGCGGGCCGGGCCCCACGGAGGGAGGCGGCAGTGCGAGGAGGGTCGTGGAGGACGATCAGATGCCAGAGCCCCGAATCCTCAGGGGCAGCTCGGGTCAGGGTGAGACGCGGGTTCGTGTTTCGGGAGTCCGAGCCCGAGTTATCCCGGGCCCGAGTCACCCCGGACATTTCGGGCGTCGAGAGCCCCGAATCATCAGGGGTAGCTCGGGTCAGGGCTAGCTCGGGTTCGTTTTCCGGGAACCCCAACCCGAGTTACCCCGGGCCCGAGTTACCCCGGATAATTCGGGCGCCCAAAAATGGAGAGGAAGCGTGTTGCCAAATCATTTCCAGATGCCTAGAAGATCGGTTAAAACAATTCTCAACATTTAAAAAAACACGTCAAACCTTTCCAGGACATTTTCCCACATGTTGAACACATTCTGGACTCGATGATCGGACAGGTAGGGTGTCCATTGTCGTGGCATCCACAAGAGGAGGGCGAGGGGAGGGGCGGTGGCAGAAGAGCACGGTTCGCACATCGGGGAGTAGGGGGAAGGAGAATGGAAGGGGCAGGGAGGAGGAAGAGGGGGAGGAGGAGGGGGCCAAAAAGAGGAGGGGGCAGGAAGGAGGAGGAGGAGGAGGAGGAGGAGGAGAAGCAGGGCGAAGACGACGCCGCCGACGACGACGTCGCCGCTGCCGCCGCCGCTCTCGACGACGACGACGAGAAACGATCAGAGGGAGAGTCTTGAGCTCTCAGTTCTCGAGAATAATGATTGTTGATCCCCCCTGCCCAGTGCACATTCTGATTTTTGAAGTACAGTGCTCCTCCTGAGAAACGAACCTCGTTTTTTTAGCAGGCAAAGTCTTTGTCCTCAAACCAGGGTGTTGGCGCCCAGTCTGCAACAACAGCGGCTCCCGCCGTATACTTCGTTACAATGTATGCAGGAATCGCGCTCTCGTGTGGAACTTCCTCACAATTTGTTGCGGCGCCGTGCCCCCTAGACTCAGGAATCACGCTCTCGCTTTGGATTTCCGCACGATTGATTTGGGAATCTCGCTATCGTTCAGAATTTCCTTGCGATTAATGTTGGGTTGACGCTTCAGCGACCCGCCCACTCGACCCGGCCGTCTGGGCCCGCCCGCCCGACCTGCCCGTTAGAGTCCTGCCGCTTGTACTCGTTCCCCTAAGCGTCCTCCTGCAAGTCTCTCTCGTGCTCCATCCTTCCCTCTCCCCCTTGTCTCTTCCCTCCTCCCTCCCTTCCCCTGTTTTAACGGCTGCGCCAACTACACGCAGCAGGTAGGGAAGATATACCCCCAAGGGAAGACGAAGGGGACGGGTTCCATGGGTTTGTGATGCACGTGATGAACGGCACGCGAGCAGATAAGAGCGAGTAGTCTGAACATGAATTGAGGTGGTTGTTCCTACTGTGTTCTCGTGCGTGCTGCCGCGCAGCCGCGGCATGGGAGGAGGAGCGGGAGTAGGAGGCGCACGGGGGGGAGGGGGCAGAGGGCGGGGAGAGGAAGGGCGAGGAGAAGGAGGGCGAGGATGGGGCAGGAGGGAGGGCCCGACCAGACGAGAGGGGAGGATAGGGAAAGGGGGGGTCAAGACGACTTCTGCGTGCAGCTGGTCTCCGCCCCGCCGCCGGGCTCATATTCCTCCATGCCTGGGCGCCACCCAGCGCCAGGAGGCGCCAGGAAAACTAGCTACGCGAGCTGATTCGCTACCCTGCCCTTTGCTATCCTCCCCTTTTCGTCCCCCTCTCCCGAGCGGGTGAGCAGAGGGCGAGGCAGGAGGGGGTGCGAGGAGGGCGAGGATAGGGAGGGCGAGGACCCCGAGCCTGCTTCGTGGTGCGCTCCGAGCAGAGCTTTCGAAGGGAGTCTTGCCGTGGCTGCGAGAGGCCTCTCTCCAGAGGCCCACGGAGTGACACAAAGCCTCGAGGCTCGGTCCTCGAGCGACGACGACCAGGCAAGCCCAGGATGAGGATGAAACTCTTCATCGGATGTTGATAGACCTCCTACCCTGACACGTCGATTCGCGAATTGGCCGTTTTCGGTTCGCGAGATGGCGTCGCGGCCGTCATTTTTGCGGGTCCAGGTCCGTCGGTTTCGGTCCCAGGCCGTTTTCATTCAAAGGTGGTGTACTAAAGGGAGGTTTGTCCACCGCCAGTTTTAGAGCGTTCTGGAACGCTCTCCGAGCGGTCCGGAACGCTCTGGGACGGCGCGCTCTGAGGCGGCCGCGGCGCCCGATGCATCAGCCCCGCTCGCATAGAGATTGGATAGCGAACCCTGGGCCGAAAGCCAGCCTGGCGTCGAGAACATGCCGAGAACTAGCCTTAGGTCGGAACTGAACCCTGGGCCGAAACGAGCCCAGGGTCGAGAGTGAGCCCTGGGCCGAACTCTATTTCCCGATCAGGAACTGCGGCTTAGCGTGTCGCGCTGCCGGTTCTGGCCCACCGCTCTTCGGCGCGGCACGCGAACCACGTCTCCGCCCCCAGGCGTCAACGCTCCGAGCCTCTCCCAGCCTCCCAGCCCCCGCCGGGCGGAGCGACTCGCTGTCCGCTTGCAGGGCACCGCGTGCCGCTGGGACCACCGCCGCGACACGCTGTGCGCAGGTCCCCGAGGGCATGCGCATCCGGACTGCTCCCCGTCCCTGGACCTCCGACGTCATGCTCTGCTCACGACGTCGAGCCCCAGGCGGTCTGGAGCCATTCCCCCGGACCGCTTCTCTTCATCCCGAGTCGTCGGCGGACGGTCCCGAGGGCGGGTGAGGGAGCCCCCCGGAGACCGAACACAGCACGAGCAGCTCCCCGTCATGATTCTTCTCTTCCCGACCCGAGGCGGTGTCTGGGTTCAAGTCGGGCCTGTCCCCCTACAGGGGGATTTTCGATGAAAAATAAAAAATACCCCAAAAATAATCAAACAAATAGTTCAAACATAGTCTGGGGACTATTTTTTGAGAATCTTTTTGGCCTTTTTGCTGTATGTTTGGGGTATTTTTTTTTGTCGAAAATCCCCCTGTAGGGGGACACGCCCGACATAAGTCTGGGTCCTGCCTTCGCCTCGTGCCGCCCCCGCGGGCAGAGCGCGCCGGGCCGCCGCAGCTTGACAGCCGCGCTCACCACATCGCCTTTTGTGTTACCGCCCAGCCGGGAGGACCAGGCGGGGGGGGCCTTCTCCTCCTCCTCCTTTCTTCCTCCGCCTGTCTTCCTCCTCCTGCCTCCTCCTTTCTTGCTCGGCTCCCTTTCTGCCTCCTCCCTTCCGTCTTTTCTTTCTCCTTTCTCCCTCCTCTTCCCTCCTTTCTTTCTCCTTTCTCCCTCCTCTTCCCTCCTTTCTTCCTCCCTTCTTCCTCCTCTTCCCTCCTCTTCCTCCTGCTTCGGGTTCCAACCTCCACCAGGGGGGTCCTCGGGTTCGGCTGGCCCCATTGCGTGAGGCCAGGCTGGGAGAGTACGTCCAGGTGCTCTAGCCCCTGTCCTCCTCTTCCTCCTCTCCCTCGTCTCTTGGCACGGACACCGCCTCGAAGAGGTATTCCTCGGCATGCGCACCCTGCCGTTGCCGAGCCATGGTCGCACATGTGTTGGAAGTTGTTGTGATGTGTACTGCCGTCACGAAGAGGAGGTGGAGGCCTCCTCCGTCCTCTCGGCTGCACGTGAGCTAAGAGTGACATTTCGCCAGAGCGACCGTGAGGGCGGGCCCGCTGGGGGCCCCAGGTCGCCGAGTGCGATGCGACAGCCGCGGCCTGCGCGCCTGGGCTTTGCGCCGTCGCGCCCGCCCCAAACCCACTCTTTGGAGGTCACTCTTGCCTGGTGTCGCTCTTGCGTGTGTGGGCGACTCCGTCTAGCCAGGCTCCCAAATTCAGAGGAGGAGGAGGAGGAGGAGGAGGACAAGACACTGACCTACCCCTCCCTCGTCGCCACGGCTGGATTCGCATCGGAATCATTGTCAGAACACAGCCCGGGAGAGGTTTGATCAGTAGCGGCATCGGTATAGATTGCCTCCCCGTTCACCCACAAATGGGGCTTGAGTAGATGCGGTCGTCGGATCGCACCGCATCGCCGGTGCGGCTCGACTTGGAGCCCGATGTTCTTCACGCCGACGTCGCCGATGCATCGGCGATGAGGCGTGATCTTCCGATCATATCTACTCGAACCGCAGTTGGGTGGCCTCCAGCACACCTGGATCCTCCTCCCTCTCGTCATCGTTCTCGCTCTCCTTCTCGTCCTCCAGTCTGTGGAGGGCCAGTCCAGACAACAGTAGCCCTTTCTCGGCGTTGTTCGTCCACCCTTGGGCCTCCTGGAGGCCTCTCGCAATCACGGCTGGACCCGCTTTCAGAAGCGGGTCGGGACGGACCCCGGGGACGGCTCCGGTGCATGGTTTTGACCGGATCGGGCTGGGCGGGAGGGCCGCCGTTGTCTCACTTTTGCCCTCCTCCGATCCACATCCGGCGAGCCAGAAAGGGCCTCGCCTGCGAGGGCTCGAGGGGGCTGACGCCTCTGCCAGGGCGGATTGCCGGCGGGAGTTGCCAAAGCAAGCCGGTCCGCCAAAGGCTGCTGGTGGAAGTCAGGCACATGTCCCCCCCTGGGGCGGCATTTTGTTTTTTGGGGGGGGTCAGGGTTTCCTCATCGGGCCACTTGTTCTTCCTCTTCCTTCTACTCCGCCTCATCATCCCCTTCCATCTCCCCATCCTCGTCCTCACTCATTAGCATCACTGTCGGCGCCAGCACCACTGTCATCATATCCGTCTCTAGTATCTCAACTCTCCTGCACCCACAGAGCAAGGCACGGCGCGACATACGTTCGAATGATTGCCTGCGGTCAACAGCCTCTGGGGTCTTCCGAGATGGGATACCCTTCACTACTGAAGCGATGGACCCAACAGACATCCGGAGGTTGCATCTTCTCGGGCATGGGTCTCAGGAATTTCCCCGGGGCTGGCGCTTCATCATGCTGCTGCACGCTGCGTTTTGGTAAAGGCCTCGGGGTCCGAAACGCGCCCTCACCTTTGGATTCAAGGGCATAAAAAACGCCCCTACCCTGGTTTACGAGGCGCTGTGCGCTGAAACTCCTGTGGGCTGACAGGGTAGACCCTGCATGATGTGCCGCGTCCTGGCGGCTCTAGGCGTTGGGGGTTCCCAGGAGGTTTACAGACCATACACTTGTAACCCAGGGTAGGGTTGTCTTTTCATCCCTCAATGGATCACCAACACAGGCAAAACGGGCGCGTCGAGTGTCTGTCCGAGTCGTCGAGTGCTCGGGGCGGCGTCAGGGGGCATGGCTCGCAGGCGATCTCTCCACCACCACCACTCCCGAGCTCCCTCGGTCAAAATGCGGCCGTTTCGAGGGATACACCCCTGGGGGGCTCGTCGGACACCCCCTGCCGAGGATGGAGGCCCCCCCCCTCTACATGAGGAATATTCAGAAGTAGTCCTGGGGACGATTTCTTGAATATATATATATATATATATATATATGTTTTTTGACCGTTTGGGGGTATGTTCTGACTACGTTCTATTCTTCGTCCGAACTCCCCGTGTAGGAGGACAGGCCCGACTTACGTATATTCCCAGAGTTGGGCTCCCAAACTGTTCCGGGCCACCCCTGGGGGCTCGGAGAGAAGCGCCACCTTCGCGCGTCGCGGCCTGCGCTGGAGCGGCGGCCCCTCTCCAAGGGAGCGGCGCGAGGGCGCGCGAAGGCCGCCGTGCGCGCACTGCGGGGCGCGCCTCGGTTCGGCCGCGGCGGACACGGTCTTGGTGCGATGGGCCTCCGTCTTCATGCGCGGGCGCCCGACGCGTCGCTGGGACACGCGCGGGGCCCCCCTGCGGCTGCTGCCCTGGAACGCCCGTGTCGAAACGCAACGGCGCGCCGTGTTCAAAACGTCCGTGTGAACACGCGGCTTGCTGAGCTCCGTGTCAGCACTCTGCGTGTTGTGTGTGCTGCGTATCGGGGCAGCTGAGGTTCGACTGGACCGTGTCAGCACTGTCGAGCTGAGTGCTGCGACTCGCCTAGCGTGCTGAGCTCCGTGTCAGCACCCTGCGAACTGCGTGTAGCGTGCCGCTTGTCATCCGACTTTACCTCGGTTCTGGCCGGCCCGACCCGATCCGAGTCCGATGCTCTGGCGGTCCTGTGCGGCCCGATGCTCGCGTGGGCGCGTACGATGCGATCCGGTTCTGGCTCCGTGCGCGTGCGGCCCGAGTCGGTGTGCGTGCCGATCCGATCTGCCGATGCGGCACTGACCGCTCCTGCCCTGCAGACTGCCGGCACTCGGGCAATGCCGACGGCCTGGCATCGCTCGGACGTGTGCACTGTTTTCGGCGAGGGCCATCGAGGAGCATCCTTCACCATCGGGCCAAGGGAACACGCACGAAGGCGACAGATGCACGGAGAATCGAGGTCCGAGCGATGGCCAGACGGGGGTCCTCCCACGCACAGCAGGCGCACTACAGAAGCGAGGGGCCTGCCAGCGGGTGCCCGGCGGGACTTGCTTTTCCTCGGCTGGGTCCAGAGATTCCTCGGGCGCCCTGCGAAGTTCAAGAACGACGAATGATGTGCCTGCCGATCTCCTCTAGCCTGGTGTCTGATCGCGTGTGCATGCTGAGGAGGGTCACCACCTCCTCCCGAGGGTGGAGCTCCGAAGAGTGTTTCTACGATTGGGGGGCTCCTGAAGGGGTCATCGAGGAGATGACGACCCCTCTGGTGGTGACCCTCCTGGCATTGCTTGCCTTCTGTGCTCGCAACAGATGTAAACAATGTTTTGTAATGTGTTTGGCCATTCATCACCCGTTTTTGAGCCCGCCCAGCAGCGCAGACCCGGCTCATGATGCGTGCGGCTTGGGTGTCTTACTCGAATCCAGATCTGTTGTTATGATGTGCTATGAACCGGTTCGGAGTAAGAACTTGCGATTGGAGCCCGTTCGGTGAGAAGTGAGCTCGTCTGGGGGTAAGATGATTCTGTCTGCAGGGAATGTGAGTTTTTTTCGGTTGGGATTTGGTCTTGTATGACAGGATGGCTTTCGAGCCCGCTGGGTTAGGATATGAGCCCGTGCTGAGGATGGTCCGTTCGGGGGGTGCCACGTGTTCACCACAAGCCGAACCAGCTCAATTGTTCGCGTCACCTCCGCGGCGCGTCGAGTTTCGGTGAACAAGGGCTGCAACCAATACGGGACGAGCAACCAGAAGCCCAGAATCCGAGCGCGGGGGGGTGATGACATCGCACGTCTTGTTGCATGCATTTTCGTTCTTCGCCACCATCATAGTCGCCCCCCTTCTCTGGCCTCCGTTCTTCCCCTCCTTCCTATTTCTCTGTTCCTCCTCGCTCCTTCAGGGGTGCTCGCGCACTTCTTTCCACGACAGCTCTGCTGCATGGTGTTCCACGCGTTTCTTGCGAGCTGCGTACTTGCTTTGCACGCCGTCCGCCCACGCTCTGAGTTCCGATTTCTCCACCGCAACCCCCACACCACCGTTTACGCGAGAGACTCCAACGGCACGTCTTCAGCCCAGCCCCAGTCGTTGACAGAAAAATCAGCAAGAACGTACCAAACAGCAGCACAACATGTGCTACCACAGCAGACAAATAAGCACTTTCGGCAGAGGGTAGTGAGCTCGTTCGGTGTCCAACCCATCTGTCTTCAACAAAACACCAGGCTTGAGCTCGCTTGGGCTGCAACTGACTCGCGGAACCTGCTCTGCCGCCGAACTGGCTTAGAAGCTCCAGCTTCGTCCCGCGTAACCCGCTTCTTTTCCGAACGTTTTGGATCGCCGAATGTGCGTGTGGCCAAATGCCGCCCCAGCCGGGGCAGAGCCATTGCTTTTTAGTGTTCTCCCGAACGGGCTCAACTCAAGGCTGGGTCAGTTGGTAGCCCGGGGCAGCGGGAGGGCTCTACATGAGGCCTCCAGGGGTTTCCGTGGGGACCTTGGGCGACTGACATAAGGCCCGATGCAAGCGCAGGGCCTTAAGGAGAGCCCGGCTGGTGCCTCGGCGCCCCACTCGCGAGGCAGCACCACAAGCGCGTCTTCCTTCAGGGGCAATGTTCAGGGGAAGTAGGTTCAGGGGAGGGTAGATCGACCTGGGACTGGCGATGCATCGCCGATAGAGCGGCGATAGGCCCCTGATAACGAATCCCCACGTTCCTGGGGTGTGTGGGCTATCGGGACTCCATCGGCGACCAATGGGCGATTGAAGGTCGGTCCATCCCCCCTTGAGCCTATCCCCCCAAGAGTTCCTCCTCATTTCCAGGGCAGTTCTCATCGCAAGCCAGCTGCGTGAGCCTGCGAGTGGCGGGCAATCTGTCGCAGCCAGCTCGGAACCCCGCGCCGACTGGGTGCCATCAGAGCAGGGCGCGCACAGTATGGAGGGGGAAGCCGCTCACATCGGCGAAGGACGCTCGCTGCCTACCCATGCTGCTGCCCCCCCCCTAGGCGCCATCAGGAGAAGGGTATGGACAAAAAGCTCGGCACCCGGGGCCAGATTCTTATCCATGCCCCCAGTCTGGCCCCAGGGTGGGATTGGGGCGTGGCCAGCTCGGGGCCCTGCGCCGACCGGGTGCCGTCAGAGCAGGTCGCGCACAGCGTGAGGCGGGGGAAGCCGCTGACGGGTGCACCTCGGCCACCGCGGACGGCTGCGGATTATGCACCAGGAAGCTGGAACACACGAGGTGGAGGAGGATCAGGAGGAGGAGGAGGAGGAGGAGGAGGAGGAGGAGGAGGATGTGGAGGAGGAGGAGGAGGAGGAGGAGGAAGAGGAGGAGGCGGCACGCTGGATTGGTGCACAGGCGTGTGTAGGCCCTGGTCTATTAGCCATCTCGGTTGCCCCGAACTGCCACACGCTGGAGCGGATTGCCTCTGCCTCGCCGCCGACGAAAAGAGCGGCCCTGGCCAGCGCACACCCTCTCCCTCGGAGTTGCCGCCGTTCGCGCGTCGTTCCTGGGTGAGCCGCCTCGTTTGAGAGTTGGTGGCAAGTGCGCCCTCCAGGGCGCGAAGGAGGAGGAGGAGGAGGACGAGGAGGAAGGAAGGAAGACGGAAGGAGGAAGGAAGGAAGGAAGAGGAAGACGGAAGGAAGGAAGGAGGGAGGGAGGGAGGGAGGGCCGGAGGGAGGGAGGGAGGTAGGGAGAGAGGGAGGGAGGGAGGGAGGAGGGGAGGAGGGGGGAGGATGGGAGGGAGGGAGGAGGGAGGAGGAGGAGGAGGAGGAGGAGGAGGAGGAGAGGAGGAGGAGGAGGAGCTCCGATTCCTCCTCTCCCCAGGGGGGGGCGGCGCGAGAGCGTGGAGTTAGTTAGGCGCCCTTGCGGTGGGGGGAATGCGCCGGCTCCCGGCCAAAGAGCTCGACTGGCCGGCCCGACTTGCGGCCCGGTGGAGGCGGCGGAGGAGGAGGAGGAGGAGGAGGAGGAGGAGGAGGAGGAGGAGGAAAAGGAGGAGGCGGAGGAGGAGGAGGAAAAGGAGGAGGAAAAGGAGGAGGCGGAGGAGGAGGAGGAGGAGGAGGAGGCGGTACGCTTCGCTGCGATGCTCCTGTCGGATTGCCACTGGAGAACTCGTGGGAAACATCGAGCCCGTGCCTGTGACATCTGGGCAGCGAGGCTATCGTCGTACATGTCTTGCTTCTCGAGCAGGAGCGGCAGGAGGAGGGGAGGAGAGAGGGCTGAGGGAGGAAGGAGATGGGGAGGAGAGGAGGAAAAGGGGGAGAGGGCAGGAAGGGGGAAAAGGAAAGAAGAGAAGGGGGACGGGGGATATGGAGGGAGGAGGGAGGGAGGGGAGCAGGAGGAGGAGGAGGAGGGCAGCAGAGGAGGAGCCGAGGGAGGGACCCGTGCCTCCCCCGCGCGCCGGCCGAGGGCGGCCATGCCCATGCTGCCCGCGGCGGCCTACGCGCGGGGCGCCCCGCCGGCCCTTCTGCCGGCGGCCGCCTGCGGCAGACCAGTAGCGCCGCAGGCGCCCGCTCAGCGTTTGGCCGCCGCCGCCGTCCTGGAACCCAGGCCCCCGCCGCCGCCGCCGCCGCCGCCGCCGCCGCCGCCGCCGTCGTCGTCGTCGTCGTCGTCGTCGTCGTCGTCGTCGTCGTCGCCGCCGCCGTCGTCGTCGTCGTCGTCGTCGTCGTCGTCGTCGTCGTCGTCGTCGTCGTCGTCGTCGTCGATGGCCTCGCCGCCCGCTGCCTCCTCCTCGCCCCTCCTGGCCCCGCCTGCTCCTGCTCCCGGGGCCCGAGCCGCCGCCGCCGCCGCCGCCGTCGTGGCCCCCCTCCCCCCTCCGAGGGAGGATCGGTGGCGACCCCAGGGGGGAAGTGAGAAGGGACGGGCCTTCTCAGAAGGCTCGGAAGCCCCCCAGTCTTCCGAGAAGCTTTCTGATCCTCCCCCGAAGACACAGAAAACTCGCCGGAAGGCGCGGGGGCTGCTGAGAAGTCCCGCCGCCATTGAGATTCTGAGAGGGCCTTCTCCTTCTCACTTCCCCCCCTCGCTCGCCGCCGAGAGGAACGACCACCCCGTTCCCGCCCCGAGGGGGCCTCCTTGAAGGGGGGCGGGGCTTCGAGCGGGGTCGGAAGCGGAGAGCTCCGGACTGGGGGGGGGAAGGCGCAGGGGCAGGGGGCAGGAAAGGGCTAGCCTCCCGCCCCATGGCTCTCTGAGAGGAGGAGGAGGAGGCGGAGGAGGAGGAGGAGGAGGAGGAGGAGGAGGAGGAGGAGGAGGACAGACGAGGGGACGAGGACGAGGAGGAGGAGGAGGAGGAGGTGGAGGAGTGGGAGGAGGAGGAGGCCGGGAGGGGGAGGAGGGGGAGGGAGAGAATGGGGAGGAGGGCGAGCTGGAGGGAAGAGGAGGGGAAGGAGAAGGGCGGCGGTGTCCGACCAAGAGCCGCCCCGCCCTTGCGACGGCGCGCCGCGGAGGCGCTCCAGCTCCCCAGTGCGCCCGCCCCCCGGATGCACAAGGCCGAGGAGAAGAAGCAGGCGCCCCCGCGGCCGCGGGGAGGGCCGGCGGAGAGCCGTGTGAGTGCGGGAGGCAGAGGGGGCGGGCCGCCTCAGAAGGCCCACGGCTGCCCAGAGAGCGCCCCGAGGCACCCTCCGAAGGCCAAGAGAGTCCCGAGAGGCCCGCAGTGGCCCTCACGGGGCACCCAAGCTGCCCCAGAATGCCCCCCCCACCCCCCCCCCCCCCCCCCCCCCCAAAAGGGCCTCATGGGCCATGGGAGGCCACGGATAGGAGGCCTCTAGCCTTCTGAGAAGCCGTCTGTGCCTCCTCCGATGCCACGGAGAGCTTGTCAGGCCAGAAGGCTTCCGAGAAGCCCCACCGCCTTCTGAAAAAGCTTCAGTGGGATTTCGGAACCCCAGGGGAGGGGGAAAGGGGTGACAGCAAAATGTCTCACGCGAAATGTTCATCCCCGGCAAGCGGGGTCGGCGGCTTGCTCTTCGCTGCTGGTACCTGTTACCGATCACCCCCATACCTCCGACGCTTTCGTTTCGATGCCTGGCCCCCCGGACCGAGCGACGGCCCTCGGTGCCCAGAGCCGACGCCGCGAGGCCGACCACCGCGAAGACACTCTGTGGCAATGTTCTCGGCATCGCTCGGACGTGTGCATTTTTCCTCCGGCGAGGACCATCGAGGCGCATCCTTGCTTGATCATTTGGCGAAAAAGCCACGCGCGAAACCGAAAAAACACAGGGACTGGACGTCCGAGCGATGCCCAGCGTTTGGCAGGACGTCGGAGGCGCTCCAGGAACAAATCCGCTCCCCGGCACCGCCTCGGCGCGCTCCCGGGCAGGCAACCCCGCGGGGAGCCCGGCCGTGGCCACGGGACTCCGCCGGGAGGCCCACGGGTGCTCCACGGGTGCCCAGCCCCCCCCTCCTCCTCCTCCTCCTCCTCCTCCTCCTCCTCCTCCTCCTCCTCCGCCTCCTCCTCCTCCTCCTCCTGCTCCTGCTCCTGCTCCTCCTCCGCCTCCTCCTCCTCCTCCTCCTCCTCCCCCTCCTCCTCCTCCTCCTCCTCCTCTTTTTTTGAATGCAACATTCATGCCTCTGAAGTGACAGCCTGCCCCTACAGCCAGAGGCGCACTGAGGGCAAAGCAAATTACCTGTAATTTATAATAGCGGGATGAATTCGTCGATGTCGACCGATACACCCCTCTTATCGGGGTGCTGTCCCTTACGGAGCCGTCTCAAGTTTCTGAAACCAGTCACCGTGGGTGGCCCGCACTTACGGGACAAACCCAGGACCTGCTCACCGCTAGAATAAAACTTGCACGACATGCACAAGTACAGGTGACCCTTGTCACTGCAAGGGAACGCAATGACTCGATGGCCTAGTCTCTCCAACAGACCCTGGTCCAAACGGGACTGCCCAGGGCACGAACCTCCCAGCGGCTGAGTCTTGGCACGGGAACCGCGAAGACAGACACGGCACCGCCAGGAGGACCCCTGTAGGGACCAGTCGTGGACGAGCTCTAAAAGAGGGGCCTTCAGGTCTGGCGACGAAACGCGCCGCGTCAGACCACGAAACTCCAACTTAGGCCAAAGTGGCAAGAGCTCCGCTCCCGCGAGCAGGACCGCCCTAGACACTGTAATCTGATGATCGAGGGCTTCCTGCTTAGACGGACTCAAAACAGGGTGCTGCCTGGCACCTTCTTTCGCGTAGACGTCAGCGAAGAAGTTCCCTCTTCGCACAAATCTCTCATGCGAGGAGAGCCCTTCCTCGTCAACGTCTCTGTGGGCCTCAACCTTCTCTAAGGACACGAGGTTGGGCCCAAAGAAATGTCTAGCTTGAATAATCTGGCCCGCATACTGACGCCTGGCGCTGACACTGTCCGCAGCACCAAGATTCATTAAGTGAACCACGTTCGCACAATCAGAGTAACACCTAGCAGGGCCTTCCGTTTGAACAGCGGACCAAGCCAGGGCACCGAACTCAGCACCCTGGGGCGTCTGAGGCCACGGGGCCCACAGGGGGCCCTTCAAAACTCCAAGGCACTCACCAGAGCCCGAGACCATGACAACGGCCCAACCAGCCCTAGAAAGTTCCCGCACAACATGACGATGGCACGAACCATCCATAAAAAGGTGCCCCCAGAGCCCTGAAGAGGGGGGGATGGAGGGAGCAGCAGCAGGATCTTCGGGGTCAGGAAGTAAATCAGCAAACCATTCCAGGCTGGTACCTCCTTCAGTCAGTGGCGGAGGGGCATAGTCTCCAGGATGTTTAAAAGCACCGTACAGGTACAGACACATGTCGAGATGATCAGCCCCTAGCTCCAACGCTTCATTCTGAATACTTTTGTCAAGCACCGCATCCCTCTCAGACTGCACAGCAGGGCACACATAGAGCCTGTGGAAGAGGGTGTCGCGGTCCTTACCGCACAACGCGCACTTGTCAGAAAAGTCGTACCCTGCTGCTGCTACGTCGCTTGCCGTCCAGCAAGCTCTCGTGGCCTGGGCACGGATCCAACCTTTTGTGGAGCTAGGAACCTTCTTAGAAGACAAAAGCTGCTTGACCACGTCCCAACACAGCCTAAAACCGCAACCATACTTGTCCCCAGACTCCCTCTCAAGACTCCGTAAAAGAGCTTCCTTACAGAAAACCTTAACAAGCTTGGGGGAAGAAAGGGTCAAAGAGATTTCGCGGCCGAAATCGTCCACAAAGGTGCAAAAATTGGGCATGGTCCAGCCCAGCCTATACAAGGACATGCGAAGGGCAGAAATCGGCCCAGCCACCTTGGACCACGAGTGGTCATCCGACTTGAAGACGGCGCTCCAGCCATCCCTAAGTTCGGCCCAGCTCAAAGTCCAGGGGAACCCGTGAGTATGCAGGGTCCAGACCTCCTTAGCCCAGCGAATGAGCGGCGCACAACAACCCCGCCACGTCGGATCATCCGAGAGAAGACACAAGACGCTGAGGGACCTGCCCTGCGCTCTAGGCCTAACCGAGGACATGGCCATCCTTCTGAGATTAAGCAGCTCCCTGTCCGAAATCCCATACAAGTCGGAGCCGTACACAGCTCCAGCCAGAGGGCCCGCCGCGAAGACCTTCAGACACCTGCGACCGAGGGCCTGCTGGAGGCCCTTGAGCTTGTTGGTCTTCCTCAACGCAGCAGCCGTTCTGGATTTTAATTTGGCCGAGCGCCCCTTAGTACGAAAAGGCCTGCCCGCAGTAAAATCAGAGCCCAAGTTGGTGACCCGAGAGCAGGCTGGCCCAACAAGAGGTCCCAGGGTCTCCGAAAGCTTCCTGGAAACTTCAGGGGAGTTGCTAATCATACCCACTTTGTCCATGGCCAGCTTGCACTCGAGCGTCGTCGTGATGGCTCGGTGGAGCGCCTTGGCTCCCGCCGTGAGGCTGGCAACTACAACCTTAGCTGTTCCCGTGCAGCTGAGACTGAGGTCATCAACGTAGGCATCGAAATCAGTCGTGGCTCCAGGGGCCCTGGGAACCGAAACGAGGGCCTCGTCGAAGGCCCGCATAGCAAAAACTCGAATGAGGCTGGTCGCAAAGGAGCAGCCCGCCACTAAACCCTTGGAAACAAAAAACGGGCCCTGGATGATGCCCCCAAGGGCCAGGAAGCGCGCACTCGCATACGCCCTGATGGCCAGTCTCGCAAGAGGCAGCGGGAAGTGCAGAAGCTCGCACTGCTGCCAGAGGTACCTCAGGTCGATATGCTCATAGTACTTCCTGAGGTCCCAGAAAATGGACGCCGACACTTCTCTCTTGCGAGTGCCCGCTTCGGCCCTAAAGGCCTGCCTCCAGACAACATCCCCAGCTCCCCTGTTGGCTCCAGCAGCCCAGTACTTCCTGGGATAGTTGAGCTCCCACTGAAGGGCCTCCCGACGACGGGCGCGACCCCAAAGACGGTACAGGCTCGGGAACACCCCAATGGGCCTGAACCCGCCCGTCGGCTTGGCCAACAAGGCCATAAGAACCCACGAGAGTTGCTTGGGCAAGTCTCCAGTGGCTTCCCAAACAGCGAACCACAGGGCCAGGGCATGCAAAGCCTCATCGGGGAGAAGGCTGAAATGTCTGCAGTGGAAGCCGTCGACACTCACAGCAGAGGAAGTGCGATACTTTTTGGAAACAGCTCGGAGCTCGGCAGGCTCTAAAATTCGCCCGTGGGGCAGAAGGTCATGGTTCACACCAGTGCCTTTGCCAGAGCCCCAAATAGCAGCAAACTTGTCCCCTTCAGCCTGCAGTAAAGACACTGGGTCGCAAACGATGGTTCCACATCTGGCTAAGGTGGTGGAGGGTTTCCAGGGAACAGGGTCTTTGATAGCCCTCTGCGCGTTGCGACCGCCAGCATCAATACCTGTGCGCACCCACTCTTGCCACTCGAGCCGCGAGGAATTCGCAGCGGTGACCTTAGCAGCAGCGACGGCTTGAGCAACCTGATCGATCAGGTCATCCAGATCGGAGCCAAGCTCAGGATCCAGCACAGGGGAGAAGGCGCATCTGGCTAAGGCTGCACTGGCCTTGAAGAGCGAGTGGTACTCAGAGCACTCCTGTACCGCCACGGCCGTCGGAGGCTGGAGGATCGAGTTGAGCACCGTTCGACCAGCCCCCTGCAAGGCCGAACCCGAGAGGTAGCACCTAACTGCACGTAGCTGATTGTAAAGCCACGAAATAGACCTTAACCCTGGATTCTTTTCCCGCCCCGCAGGGCGCAGCACGGACTTCCAGTAAACCTGGGGTCTCTTTCCCCGAGTGCCGAAAACCTTGAGATCAGCCCCAAGAGAGTTGGCAAGATCTCTCTCGGCCGCGTCAGCCCAGAACTTGTACCCGATGCCCAAAAGCCTGCGAGCCTTGCCCGCATCTCCATTGGCAACCGCCCCGAAGGCTTCTTTGGCCAAGTCGAGCGCAGCACTCCAATCCCCAGGCTCGGGCGACGGTCCCACAGGAGGGAGGACAGGCAACACAGGGGGCTGGCGGAAGGCAAGAGCCTTGAGATCGCCCAGGGAGCTGTGAAAACGGAGCGACACAGGG